AGAGGCCACCTTCATCGCCTTCAGGATGCTGGCAGGGAGACAAGGAGGTGACATGGTGGCTGTGTCACAGCTGTGGTGCTGGGACACCAGCGAGGCAGCTGTGGGTGCCGGTCAAGCCATACCTCAGCTCGGTTTTGATCTCCTCATAGTCAGCCTGTGCCTGCAGCTTCTCCTCCAGCTTCTGTGGAGCAGAGGAGGGGACTCCTTGCAGCCAGCTCCTGGTGGCCACATGGCACGGCCGGACCCATGTCCCCCACCCTGGCATGGCAGGACCCGTGTCCCCAACCCTGGCATGGCTGGACCCGTGTCCCCCACCCTGGCACGCCCCCAGCCCCCGCGGGCGCACCTCGATGGCCTCGTTCTTGGCGGCCAGCTGTCCCTCCAGCTCAGCGATCTGGGTGGCAGAGGACTCCTCCAGCTCCTGCAGAGAGCTCTGGAGGTGCTGCACGTCCTTCAGCAGCCGCAGGATCTCCCGGTCCTTGGCAGCCAGAGCTGCCTCCAACCTCGACCCTGAGCACATGGAATAGTTCACTTTGTCCTGCTGGGAGAGGGGACACTGTCAGCTCCCGGCCACCCATGGTGGGGACAAGGGCCACCCTCCCCATTGGACATGTCCCCACAGGAAGCCCAGTGCATTGGGGACACTGGTGACACACAGAGCCCTGGGGAGGGACAGACATTCCCTCTGCCCCTTAAAGGTCTCCCAGGTGCATTTCAGTGCTGTGGGAGGCTGAAGGGCACAGCCAGTCCCACCACCTCAGAGTGAAAACACTCAGGCATTTTGGGCTTGCTCCCCAACATGATGGGTGCTCCCAAACACAAAAAATGCTCCTGCATCAGTGGGGTGCTCCCAAGTGCAGTGGGATGCTCCTGGCTGTGATAGATACTGCAGGCCCCAAATGATGCTGCAGGCCCCAAAGGATGCTGCAGGCCCCAGGGCTGTCCCTGGACCTGAGGGGTGCTCCTGGCCCCAAGGGCTGTCCCTAAAGGGGTGCTCCTGGTCCCAGGGATGCCCTCACCCCCGTGGTGCCCGTCGGGGAGCAGCAGGCCAGGCGCAGGGAGCTGTTGACGGCCGCCAGCTGCTCCCTCAAACTCTCCACTTCCCTCTGCGCCGCCTCCGCCCGCTGCAAGAGAACAGAGCAGGAATCACACCAGGCACTGCAGCTCAGCCCACCCCACACAGGGCCCAGGACCTGCCCCAGTCTTTGCCTCTCCTGAGCATTCCACTCCCACCTCCAGCATCCTAAGCCCAGCCCAGATATTTAAGCTCCCCCCATGTATTTAAGGTGTCCATGTCCTAACACAGTTCCTGATCCCAATCCTTCAGTACTGGTTGCAGAACATCTCCAGGATATCTTTTTTCCACCCAAAAGGATGGTTTTATTTACACAAATTGTTCTTTAGACTGCTTTTATTATCCACATGCACTTATTTGTACCTACATTTTCAGAATTAAAAAAAACACTAATGAAGAGGAGTGGACAGGACCAAGAGTGATTACACTGGAATCTAACACAGGAACAGTGTGGGTTGTGCCCTAAAACACCCGTGAGAGGCTGGAGGTGACAAGCGCCAGCTCCAGCAGCCAAATGGAGCCTGGCAGAAACCCAAACACACCCATGACCCTATCCATACATGGGGCAGGGGGTCCCATCAGTGGGCAGAAACCTGAACTCTCCTTTGTAGGGATTCCCAATCGTGGTGCCTGTCAACCCCTTATCAGTTTTGGGGACAGACACTCAGGCCACACAGATGCTTGGGGTGCATGCAGCACCTCGAGTTCTGCAGGGCCAACCCCACCAGCCCCTGCCCAGTCTGCTCCTGGCTCACCTGGTTGGCTTTCTCAAGGTTGGTCATGATCATGGCCACTTCATCCGCCCTGAGACAGAAAACAAGAGGTGTCAGAGGGTGTGGGGGCACAGACACAGCCCAAAGCTGGTGGAAATGACACAACTTGCAAAAATTTTTTTACAAATTTAATCAGGGTCTTGTTTGCCTTTGCCCAGGGGGAGGAGAACTGAAGTTTCTCCTCAAAAGACTCCCGGGGAAGAACTGGGAGTAGCCAGGAGATAAACAGGAGATAAGCAAACATTAACAAACATTTCCCCCCTGGAGACACCTGGTCTGGGAAAAGACCGATTAGAGAGCCCAAGGATGAGGACCCAATTAACATCGAAGGTGAAGGGATTAATAACCAATAGGAGATGGGAAACTAAGGATTGTGTCATTTGAGACCAGTGAATGTGAATTTCTGAGGGGTTTTTATGTACAAATACATGAAAGTCTGGTACAAAACCAGGCGTGATTGAATGATTTTCACTGCATAACCCGGGCATGAGTGGATGAAACAATTTCTGTTGCACATCCGGGCCAGAATAAAGCAATGCCTTGGTTCTCCAACACTTAAAAGGTGTTGTTGGAGAGTTTGTGTTTTTCTCACAATTTCAGTGAGACAACTGAGGATGTCCCTGCAGGGGCTTGAAGCATCTCAGCTCCTCAAGCAGCATCATGGAGATGTCCCAGTGCTGCCAGAAGTGTCTCAGCTCAGCTCTGAGCACAACCCGGCCCTGCTGGGAACTCACTTGGACGCCGCTTCCTCGTCGTATTTACAGCGCAGCTCCAGCAGCTCCGTCTGCGTGGCCTTCAGCGCTGGCAAGAGGAAGAGGAGGGTGAGCTGTGGGGTGGGCGCCAGGCCCTGCAGGGTCAGCAGCCCCTGTCCCGGCCCCACTACCTGCGTGGAGCACTTTGATCTTCTCCTCTGCCTCCCCCAGCCGAGCGGCCAAGGTGACCTGAGCTTCCTGCAGGCCCCTGCGAGAGACGGGCACCAGGGATGGACCAGGGATGGAGCGGGGGCACCGCCGACCCCACAGCCCCCCAAAACCACACAGAGACCCCTCAGAGTCCTCTCCTCTACCCCATCACTCACTGAAGCCAGGAAACTCCCACCAGTGGATACCAGGATGTGTCCAAGCTGTGTTACCCCTCAGTAACATGTTTAATGTTTATTGCCCCAATTGTAAAAAAATTCACATTGGGTTGAAAATGGTCCTTGATCCCTGAGGTTGAAACCCCTCTGAGGGGGGCATAGCAGCCCACCCCCTCCTGTAATTAACTGGAGGAGGGGGAAGCAATCAGGGCAAAGTTATTCTGCATTATTTATAGCCTGCACTTGCCAGGAACTTACTCGCAGAGATCTGCAATTTAGGGTTTAAAGATTCTTCATTTGTTTCCCCGGTGCAGCGTGTTAAGGAATAACAATGAAGGCACCAGAGCATCCGAATTAAAAGGTCATCTAATGAGGTTCACACAGCGACCTGGATTGAGCCCACCAGTCCGAGCAAAGCCATGAGCCAGGGATGCTGCACAAAGGGACAACAGGAGGGACCTGTCCCCGCTGTGCCTGTGCCTGCTGCTTCCCCAAAACCACCCGGGATGGGGATGGACAGACAGACAGACACTGGGAGAGTCTGGTATCGAGTTTCTGAGCATGGTGTGACTGCTTCCAACCGGACAGCAAAGGGAAGGAGAAGGTGGATGGATGGATGGATGGATGGATGGATGGATGGATGGATGGATGGATGGATGGACGGACGGACGGACGACCCAGTGCAGGAGCAGGGAGAGAGCCACGCGTCCTCACAGCATTCCAAACCCACCCCATTTGGGCTCCCACGTACTTTTGCTTGTCTGCCTCATGTCTCTGCAGCGGGGGCTCTGTGCCGGGCGCTTTGGCTTTGCCGTC